TCAGGTATACTTGCGGCCCAGTGTCCGTCTACTCCCTCTTGAGTCTCTGTTAAGTCCCATCTCTTGCTTGGAATCCCTTGTTGGGATCATTTTTTGGCCCTCTTCCACTCCGGAGACAGTCTGCGCTGATCTGCAGCCTTTGCCCCTGCCTGGGTTGGTTGAATGCCCAAGCTGCGCAGTAGTTTGTGGCCTTCCTCTGGCGTGTTGACCGTTGTCAGTGTGCCATTCCTACTGATCAGCAGGCGGACCGGGTATCCCCACCGGTACTGGATGCCATTGTTGCGCAGGGCCTCTGTGGTCGTTTTGAATTCTTTCCTTTTCTGTAGTGTAGCTGCTGACAGATCCGTGAAAATTTTTATGTGGGTGAATTTTTGTGGCAGATCACTTTGCCCTCTCGTGGCCTGGAGAATTGCCTCTTTTACGTGGAAGTAGTGGAGGTGGGTTAGCACATCCCTTGGTGTGTCTTGCGGCAGGAACGCTGGCTTTTGGACCCTGTGGTACCTGTCCAGGATCAGCATCTCCGCTGGTAACTCGGGGGTCAGCGCTTTGAAGTACTCTATGAGGAAGGGGTGCAGATCTTGTTGAGACACCTCCTCCGGTATGCCTCTAATTCTCAGATTTTGTCTTCGAGAGCGGTCTTCCAGATCCATGATTTTTCTTTGTGACTGGTCCAGTAGCTGCTGCAGGTTGTGCATTTGGTCTGCCAGCTCGTTATGAGCAGATGTCTGCTCCTCCACGCGCTGTTCCACCCACGCGGTCCTGTCCCCCAGCTCCTGCACGTCTTTGCTGAGCTCCCTCAGGGTGCTTTGGATGGACGCCAGGATTTTGCTGGACATATCCTCCAAGCATGTCTGCAGGAAGTCTTGCGTTACTGGTAGGTTGTGGGAGCCCGTGGGTGTCCTTAGCGGCAGTGTGTCGTTCCCGCCGTCGCCGTCGCCATCTTGGGCCTGGTCTAACAGGCCTGTAGCTTTCCCGCAGGCAATGCTTTTTATGTCGCTTTTAGGGCTAGCTGGGAGCGGAGCTCAGTCCCGTGCGTCCATCCGCGTTGCCCGCTAAGCCACGCCCCCCCATTTTTTTTTTTAATATAAGGAAGATAAATTAAAGATTTTTTATAAAGATAAATTGCGATCTTGAAATGCAAACAGTTAATTAACTATTTCAGACTGGTACACAGCTGCAATTAGGGACCTAAATGGCTGGACAATTGAGCTCTGTATTAGGCTGTGAATGGGAACCATTTGTACATGTCTATGATTAGATTAAACTGTCCTTTACAAAACCAATTTAGAGCCCATAGGCTCTAAACCAGGATTCAGACAGGCTTTTTAACTAAAGTGAGAATTGACGGAAATTCAAAGTAGCCGAATCAGAAATAATTTGGATTTCGGTTCAGCCATTTCATTTGGAATTCAATTAGAATTATCGGCAATACTCACATCAGGGTCTTGGCTTCAGTACCGAGGTGCATATGTAGAATGATTTGATATGCATGTTGCCACCCAGAAATGTACAAGGGGCATTTTAGAAATCACACACATGACAAAGGAGAAATAATAATGCACTAGCATTCTAGCATGATAAAGTGGTTATTAATCAGGCACTCTATGTGCCATATCGACTACAGTTCAGTGTAGTGATTATCGTTATTATTAGCAATTATATTACACCGACCATATATTTTGCAGCTTTTTACAATTATAGAATGGGATATTTCTCACCAAGTAATGGACACACAAAATATTAAGAAAGAGAAGAGGTGAAAAAGGCCCTGGTCAATTTTATTTATTTATTCATAAAATATTTTACCAGGATGGATACATTGATATTTCTCTCGTTTTCAAATATGTCCTGGGTCTTTGTCCACAAAACATTGCATTGTTACAATAGGATACAATATTACAAAAATACAATATACAAACTATATATATATATACATATATAAATTTAATACACAACTGGTAATAAATTGTGAGGATATTTACAAGAGTGATAAATATTAAAATAATATTTTCATAAAAATTATCAAAAATTAATTTAATAATTTTTATTATATCAAAATTGATATCTTGCTGAGAATTACCCACGATTTTAATTCTCTTAGATCCTAGAGGAAGTTTCACTAGATGATTTTTACTTCACACAGTAAATCACAATTTCATTATAAAAATATAATTTATTGTGACAATAATAATAAAAATAATATATGTAACATGCATGACAATAATCAGTGGATATTTAGGTATACATAGGCATACAATATGGCAATGGTTTAAACACAATACAGTGGCTAAAGCAACTAGTTGTCAAAAGATTTATGATAGGGCACTTCACTGAGAAACCTTCTTCACAGACAGAAGGCAAAACTCCACATAACATAACAGTGCAGCGAAAAGCAATAAAAACTTTGGCTGACAGTTAGACCACACTGAATTTACCCTTTCACTGCTGGCTACAATCCTCAGGCAATATATCCTATTATTTTGTAACTTTACAATTAAAGTAATATTCATACTAGAACATTAACTATTCCTGGACCATCCAATAAGAATAAATCTACCAGATTTTACGTTTGCCGAATTTAACTTTCCTAAATAAGATACGCTATCTTACTTCAGAACAAGTTAATACATCTGGCTAAAGATATTGGTATGCTAACCTGTTGGTAAATATTACCGTTAATATATTGTTATCTTTATTCCACCTGCAGGAATGGAATTTTTATAACCATATATTCCTTAGCTAACTAAGATTACTAATGATTGAAATCTGACCAAGATTTATCCAGATATATATTCCTGCTATTAGTAAAATTTTAATTAATTTAAATTAATTAAATAAAAGCAGCATAATTATCAGTTAGGTTGTAGATTTTCTTATCAGATGTGTAGATCTGTCCCAGGAATTGAATGCAAGTATGATGAATAGAAAATTGTATGGAATAGATAAAAGTGGTGTTAGTTGTAAAAACGTAATAGTGAAATTAGGTGTCCAGAAAGTGTTGTTTCTTACTATTACTATAGTCCAAATATTTCAAAGAGATTGAGTTTGAATGTGGTTCAAAGAATATGAGTATCCCAAAGAGCTAAGTGTTTGAATTTCTCTAAGTCTTTGAATGTCCGAATCTCCTTTGTCCTATCTTTTTAAAGGGCCAAACTCTCTGCACGTCTCTAATTGATAGGACCACTAGAGAACTGTAGGTGTGTCTTCCCTACAGACTATCATCTAAATTTTGGTCAGTAGATGGTGCAATTACATCACCAAAATTTCTTGTCCATTTACCTTTATGCATAATGGATTAACTGAATTTGAAGATGCTATTTAGAAAATTGGGCAGACTAGATGGGCCGAATGGTTCTTATCTGCCGTCACATTCTATGTTTCTATGTTTCTATGTTTTATGTCATTTTCTTATCTATTTTATGACTGCTATTAATCGCAGGACATGTGACTTCAAAGTATTGGTTCACTTGTATGCCAGACAGAGCGTCTGCAATTTCTATCGTAATTCTAAAATTGACACCTCCTAACCTTAATTTATTTTTTTGTAAATTCTTTATTTTTCAGTCGTCTTTCATTTTTGGTTTTTGGTGGGGTACAGAATGTAGAAAAAAAAGGGAGAGGGTAACAAGTATTACACTGTCAATCGTACATATAAACATCCAGTATTGTTCATTTAGCAGTAACATTTGGCTTAATTTGCCATGGGTAGGCACGCTGTGAGTTATCGTTGGAGTTGTTTAGAGAGTGCTCTAAGACCTTTGGGGTTTAGAGGTCTTTTTCGGTAATGTCGGGTTATGGGGTGTAGAGTGGTAGGTTAGGCTTCTCTGTGTAAGCAATGGTATTGTTGTTTTGTAATGTTGTGTTGTTGGTGGTCTTGGATTGGGTGTTGCGAGTTGGTCTCTTTAGGGTGAGTGAGTTTGGGTGGTGGGTGTCATTTCTTTGCAGGAGTGAAGTTTGTTGATACATTTGTGGTTCCCTGGGTACTGTTTATTGCTTGTTGTGGTTCAGGGTGGGTTGAGAGTGGTGTGTTTTGTTGTTGTGGGGGGTGAGAGTTTTGTGTCAGGTGCGGGAGGGGTTGTGGGAGGGGGGTGGGTTGATTATCCATGGGGAGCATAGAGTTGCAGGGAGGGGGTTCTGGTGAGGTCTGGGCTTTGAAATCTTGTGGGGGGGCAGAAGGGGGTAGGTGTTCGGTGGGTGAGCTGTTAATTGTGGGACTTTTTAGGTGTGGGTGAGATGGAGTATGACCAATGGGTCCCATATCTTGTTGTGATTGTGTGTAGTATCATAGACTAGGGCCGAGAGCTTATCCATTTCTTTGGTTTATTCCATTTTATGGAGCACGGTCCCTAAGGTGGGTACATTTTGATTACCCCATTGTTCTGCGATGGTGCGTCTAGAGGCCAGTGCGAGCTTTGCGAGTAGCTTGTTTTGTGCTCTGATTAGGGGGGCATGAGGTTTAGAGAGCAGCCAGACCCACAGGTCCAGGGGGATGTCAGTGTGTAGGATTCTAGAGGCGAGATCTGTTACTTCGGACCATAGGGGGGATTTGTTAGAGCATTCCCACCATGAATGGATGTGGTTGCCTTGGGTCCCGAACCCCTTCCAGCAGGCGTCCGAGGTTGCGCAGCCCATCCGTTTGAGCCTTAGGTGCATTAGATACCAGCAGAGGAGTGTCTTGTACGCCTGCTCCTTGTGGTTTACACAATTCGTGAGGGATGCGGTTGCTTCCCAGATATCGGCCCAGTCCTCGGGGGGGGGGGGGCTATATCCCTTTCCCATGTCTTGGTATATAAGAGTGCTTCTGCCGGAGAGGCCGAGTTCAGTTGTGAATATATGGAGGAGATTTGGCCTTTATGGATAGGGATGTGGATGCATCTGTGTTCAAAGTGGGTCAATGTCATGGTGGCTGTGGTGACATGTTGGGAGTCGTTTAGGAAGCTGTGGATTTGTAGGTATCGGCATTGGTCAAAGGTGGTGTGTGTCTTGGCAGGTCCAGGAACTGGAGCAGTTGATTAGATTGAAAGAAGTGGAAAATTCTAGTGAGTCTAGTGAATTTATGTGGTTTGATCGCCTTCAGTGTATGTGCTATCTCTTCTGTTTCGATGGGGGCAGCTATTTGGGCTCTCGCCGTGTCTGATAGCGCTGGGAGGAGGATGTCATTTAGGTAGGTTTGTGTGTCCTCTTGATTTTGTTGATGTCTTTGGTGTTGGCTGGCATCCGGGTTGTGGTCGTACAGCGTTGTAAAGTAGTTGGAGAATGTTGCGGCTATTTGGTCTGAGGTGGTATAGGTGCTCCTTTTGGGTGAGTTGATTTTGTGAATATGTTTGGCTTGGGTTTTGTGACGGAGTCTGCAAGCTAGAAGGGAGTCTGCTTTGTTGGATTTGTCCCCTTTTTTTAAACGTTCAATGTGGGTACTGTCGGCGGTTTGTGGGGTAGAAGTCTGTTGGTCTGGTCCAATTTAGGTCAGTTCTATGTCTTGTTGCGGGTGGGCGGGTGAGGGAGTCAGGGTGGTACCTCTTCACCTCCTATGTACCTGTCTAATCATTGGGGTTGTGGTAAATTGTGGGTTGCCCCTTGCAACGGGTTTGGAGTTTGGTGAGTCCCAAAAAATGTTTAGTCCACGGTTCTCGCTTGAGTGACCCTGTTTCCTTGGGGAGGGTTGTAAAGGCTGACAATGATCCTGTCCCCCTCAGGTGGTTGGTGGAGGATAATTGGTCCGGTGACTTTGTGTTGAAGGGTTTCCGATGATGCCCGCTCTTTGAAGGTGAGATGGGGGTAACAAGGGGTGATTGGTGAGTACCTGTCTGGTCCCTTTCTCCTCCGGATGTGGCCCCGGGCCTGATTTGCCACCTTTGCCAGGAGGGAGAGGGGAGAGGGCCTGAGGGGTTCCTCCGTTGTGTCCGGAAGGTTAAGTCCAAAGGGCCCGGTTTGAAAGTAAGTGTTCATGGGGGGGTGGGGGGCTTGTGCATCTCTGTTCGGGAGAGTAATTAAGTAGAGGGGGGGCGCGGTTATGGGGTGTGAGTGGGAATATTGCCAGTGAGAGGAGGTCTAGTCCCATTGAGATGAGTGCTTGATCGTTAGCTGTTTTAGGTGCGTGTCAGCAAGGTGTGTAGGCGTACCTGGTGTTCTATGGCGCGCCGGAATCAACTTGGTGGTGCACTCTGTGTTCTGTTCCTTCCAGATGCATGGGTATTTTCTTTTTCTTGTGTGGGCGTGGGGATCTCTGCCCATCTCTGTGTCGGTCGTCCTCCCAGTTCCTTGAGAGGGGAGTGTGGTGTGCCAATTATATGGAGTCGGCAAAAGGGCTCATGTCTGCAGTCGACAGCAGGACATGGGTCTGATCATCCTTTCTAACTAGCAGTTTGAAGGGGTATCCCCAGGTGTATCTCAGGCCTTGTTGTTGGAGGGCCAGAGTGAGGGGCTTCAGGTCCCATCTTTTCTTTAGTGTTGACAGGGCCAGGTCCTGGAAAAAGGTAAGACGGGAGTCTTTGTATTTAGGTGGACGGTCCCTGGAGGCGTGCAGCAGTTTTTCTTTAGCCTGAAAATAATGTAGTCAGGTGATAACATCCCTGGGGGTGGACAGGTTGAGGTTCGGAGGTCTTAAGGCCCGGTGCGTCCTGTCCATTTCTAAGTCACGTTACGTGAGGTCCAGTACTGCTACTTTGAAGATGGTTTTTAGAGTGGGGATCAATTGTTCCGTGGAAACGGATTCGGGTAGGCCCCGAATCCGGATATTGTTCCTCCTGGATCTATTATTGAGATCCTCCAGGCTGTCTTCTAGTGCAGTTATCCGGCCGTAGAAGTAGGCTATTTCTTGGGTGTGAACTGTGGTGGTTGCTGTCAGCGTGGATATGTGGGTTTCCATTTGATCGGTCCGTGTGGATAGTGCGGTCACGTCCGCTTTGAGGCCTGCTAAAAATACAATATGGAGTCACCTATGTTCTGAGTGTGACTGACAATATACACTTTTAATTTCTGTCTTAACACAAAATGTCTGCTGATATAAATATACTGACAAAATATATTCAACCATGACAGGTGCATTCTGTGCTGAGGTATATTGCCATAGATCTCTTAAAAGATTTTAGATTGAATGAAGATTTTACTGTGTCCCTGAGGTTTTCTGTAGGAAAAGGAGGATCGAGCCACTTTATTTTTGTATTGCGGTATGCTAAATATCGTGCTAGTACTGGATTGGAGGTTATAGGCGGTGGGAACAGCTGGGGAGAGCATTCTACTCAGGTAGGGTGGGAGTTTCCCAGAAATGCTCTTATGCACAAGGCTGGAAAGATGAAGAGTGCGTCGGGATTCCAGCGACAGCCTGTTTACCTCTTTTAACATGTCACAGTGGTGGGTAAAGTAATTACATTCTAGTACAAAGCGGCGGAATGAATTATATAATGTATTAAGTTTATTTAGGTGGGTTTGCGGTGCGGGTGCATACACTACACCCCCATAATCAATACCTAGATATTTAAAAGAGCAGACTGCTGTCAGTGCTCTATTTGAGTTTGTTCTGATCAGTGGCGTACACATGACCCATGGGGCCCCGGTGCGAAAATTGATCCGTGGCCCCCCCCCCCGCGCGCGGGCCGGGCCGCAACACATGGCGGTGGGCACCTGGTCGCAGGGCTGCGACCCCTGCGACCGCAGTATGTACGCCAGTGCATGCAGATGCACACACACTTAAAGGACCACTCTAGGCACCCAGACCACTTCAGCTTAATGAAGTGGTCTGGGTGCCAGGTCGAGCTAGGGTTAACACATTTTTTCATAAACATAGCAGTTTCAGAGAAACTGCTGTGTTTATGAATGGGTTAAGCCTTCCCCTATTTCCTCTAATGGCTGTCACATTGACAGCCGCTAGAGGCGCTTGCGTGCTTCTCACTGTGATTTTCACAGTGAGAGCACGCCAGCGTCCATAGGAAAGCATTATGAATGCTTTCCTATGTGACCGGCTGAATGCGTGCACAGCTCTTGCCGCGCGTGCGCATACAGCCGACGGGGAGGAGAAGAGGAGGATCGGAGGAGGAGAGCTCCCCGCCCAGCCGGTGGAAAAGGTAAGTTTTGCACCAGGGCCGAGGCTGGGAGGGTCCCTGGTGGGGGCACCCTCTCAAGGGCACTATAGTGCCAGGGAAGAGCAGGTATGTTTTTCCTGGCACTATAGTGATCCTTTAAAGGACCAGTACAGACACCCAGATCACATCAGCTCAATGAAGTTGTCTGGGTGTCAGGTCCTCTAGTTTTAACCCTGCAGAAAACATAGCAGTTTCAGAGAAACTGCTATGTTTCACTGAGGTTAATCCAGCTCCTCAGTGGCTGTCTCACTGACAGCCGATAGAGGAGCACACTGAACGTCCATAGGAAAGCATTGAGTAATGCTTTCCTATGGGCGGTTTGAATGCGTGCGCGGTCGCATTCGGAGCTGAGAGGCTGAGGGATCCCCAGCGCCAAGGGAGTCCGGCGCTTGAGAAAGGTAAGTGCTGAAGACACACACACTCTCACTTACAGACGCATACACACTAGCTAACAGACACACACATTTACTGACAGAGATACAGTCAGCGACAGACATACATACACACTCACTTACAAAACATACACTCACTAACAGACATGAAACAGACTCACTAACACACACACACTCAGTAAGACACACACAGTAACACACTCACTGACACTCACTAGCAGACACACACACACTAACACTCACACACACTAACACTCACACACACTAACACTCACTCTAACACATGATTTTTTTTTTTTTTTAATATAATCCCCCCAGCCTCCTTACCTCTTGGAGTGCTGGGGGGGATTATTCCCTGGGGTCCAGTGGGGCTCCTGGGCGGGTGGCCGGTCGGGCAGGCAGGCGCGCGAGGGAGCACTCAGTGCTTCCTCTTCAGCTCCCTCGCGCGCCGCGTAGGGATGCCGGCGCAAGAAGATGACGTCATCTTCCGGCTCCGGTATCATTGCGGTGCGCGAGGGAGCTGAAGAGGAAGCACTGAGTGCTCCCTCGCGCGCCCGCCTGCCTGCCTGCCCGACCGGCCACCCGGGGTCAGCAGGGCCAGCCTCAGGGGGGCCCTGGGGTGGTCGGCTCCTGGGCCCCCCAGGGGAAGAGGCTGGCCCTGGGCGTACATACCGGGTCGCAGGGGCGGCCGGGCCCCCTGGTGGGCCGGGCCCGGTCGCAGTCGCGACCCCTGCGACCCTGGTATGTACGCCAGTGGTTCTGATACACAATTGTTGATTTTGTAGTTTACGTAATTTAGGTACAGTTCCAAAGATCATTGTAACGGTTTTGTCAGTGTTTAGGAAGAGTTTATTATCCTCTATCCACTTTTCTACCTCTGTGAATTGGTTTTGGAGCACAGCCTCAAGCTGCAGTAGCTTGGGTTTACTAGCGTAGGTTACAGTGTCGTCTGCATACATGTGTACAGTTGAGGATTTACAGATGTTAGGCAAATCATTTATAAATAATGTGAATAGCAGGGGGCCGAGTATGGAACCTTGGGGAACACCACACGTGACTGGAAGAGGGAGGGAAGCGCTATCAGAAATGGCCACATATTGCAATTGGTCTGAAACATACGATCGAAACCAGGTTAGCGGACAATCATCATGCCTGAGTTTTTAAGTTTTTGCAAAAGAATGCCATGGTCAACTGTGTCAAAGGTCTTGGCAAAATCAAGGAAAATAGCTCACATTAAGTCTCCTTGTTCCATGCCACTTTGGATGTCATTGCAAACTTTTAAGAGGGCAGTTGAAGTTGAGTGATTTGGATGAATGCCTGATTGATCAGGGGTCAGATAATTTGATCGTTGATAATATTAACATAGTTGCGCGTGGACATATTTTTCCAAGATTTTTGACAATACAGGGAGCAATGATATCGGGCGATAGTTAGATACCAAAGTATTGTCACCACTTTTATGGATAGGTATAACTTTTGCAGTCTTCCAAAGTTTGGGTATGTATCCCGACACCAGGGATTCATCGATAAGGGTAGTGACAAGTTTAGCAATTGATGGCGCACTGAGCTTCAGCAACATTGCTGGGATTTGATCTGGTCCACACTGTTTTTTCATTTTTAAATTATTAAGATGTTTATTAATGACACTAACATGAACAGGTGTAAAATTGAATTTATCTAAATTCCTGTTCCTGTTGAACTCCCTTCCCTTTTCTGTTAGACACTCATCTAGTCTCCAGTCCTTCACAAAATCATTAAAAACTCACTTTTTCACAAAAGCATATCAAATAAACTGTTAAAGGCTCCCAACTTATTCCTCTCCTGCAACTGTCATTTAAAAACAAAAAACAAAAAAACCAATACACTAAGTCTTCAGTGAATATTCTACCAATCTACTTCCCTTATACTTTCCTTACCTTTTGTATCACTATACTCCACTCCCTCTAGCATATAAGATCATTGAGCAGGGTCCTCAACCCCTCTGTTCCTGTGTGTCCAACTTGTCTGGTTACAACTACATGTCTGTTCGTCCACCTATTGTAAAGCACTGTGGAATTTGATGGCGCTATATAAATACCATAATAATAATAATAATAAGCGAGTGAACTGAGGAGGGCAATTTTATCAAACCATTTCAGGCTATACCTGCATCTTTCTAGCCACAAATGTGCAATATGATTTTCAATTCACTTCAGTGTCTTGTTTTCTTTTTGTTATAATATTGGTATTTTGTTGTTTTGCTTAAAATGTGAATGCCATTCATGTCAAATGTTATATTTACTTTCATTGATTTTAGAAAGATAGAAAGTGTTTTCAGCTCGCTGCGTTCAATTACCGTATATACTCGAGTATAAGCCGAGTTTTTCAGCACATTATTTGTGCTGAAAAACCCCAACTCGGCTTATACTCGAGTCAGTCTGTATTATGGCAATTTACATTAATTTACATTGCCATAATACAGACTGGGGGCTGGCAGAGCTGTTACTTACCTCTCCTGCAGCTCCTGTCAGCTCCCTCCTCCTCCGTGCCGGTCCGGTCAGCACCTCGGTCAGCTCCCAGTGTAAGTCTCGCGAGAGCCGCGGGGTCATAGTGCGGCTCTCGCGAGACTTACAGTGTGAGCTGACAGAAGAGCTGCACGGACCAGCACGGAGGAGGAGGGAGCTGACAGTAGCTGCAGGAGAGGTAAGTAACAGCTCTGCCAGCCCCCCTCCTCCCCCCACTGAACTGCCAATGCCACTGGACCACCAGGGAAGGAGAGCCCCCCTCCCTGCCATGTATCAAGCAGGGAGGGGGGACAACAAAATAAATAAATTTATAATATATAAATAATAATAAAAATAATAATAATAAAAAATAATAATATAACAAAATAATAATATATACATATAAATAATAATAAAATAATAATTTAAAAATAATTAAAAAAAATAATAATATAACAAAAAAATTTAAAATAATATTATTTTTTTTTATAAAAATGCCCACCCCCCACCAAGGCTCTGCAACACAAACACACACTGCATCACACACACACACACTGCATTCATACACACACTGCACTCATACACACACTGCACTCATACACACACACTGCACTCATACACACACACTGCATTCATACACACACACTGCACTCATACACTGCACTCATACACACACACTGCACTCATACACACACACTGCACTCATACACACACACTGCACTCATACACACACACTGCACTCATATACACACACTGCACTCATACACACACTGCACTCATACACACACACTGCATTCATCATATATACACACTGTAAATAAATATTCAATTAATATAATTTTTTTAGGATCTAATTTTATTTAGAAATTTAACAATAGCTGCTGCATTTCCCACCCTAGTCTTATACTCGAGTCAATAAGTTTTCCCAGTTTTTTGGGGTAAAATTAGAGGCCTCGGCTTATATTCGGGTCGGCTTATACTCGAGTATATACGGTATGTTGCAAACTACTGCTTGGAATAATAAGAGTGACAATGGAATGTGTTTCTCACATTATATCTTATGTTACCGAGTATGTTTTTAACTACTTTAGATTTATTATACAGGATGATTACAGTATCTTAAAGCATGCTTTGTCTCCTGGTTTCCTTGAATATGCAAATATTTGGATATGTAAATAAAATCATTGTGATGTGCTTCTGTAATGTGTTCGGGGCTAAAAATGTCTGATATCTATTCTGGCATAACGACCAGAGGTGTGGATCTCTCCTTCAATGGCATCTGGTGTAGAGCAACTAATTTTTCATCTATGAAATTGTCAACATCACCAGAATCTACTAGAGCTATGCAAGACATTTCAAAAGAACCCCACGAGGAGGTAACTGAAAGGAGGAGTCTATTTTGAGGCATAGCAGGGGACATATGCATAATACCTAAGGCTGGTCCCCTGATAGTCCTTAAAAACATACGTTTTGTGGCCGGGCAAGATCTAAACGAGTGTCCCTTTTTTTCCACATTAACCCCTTAAGGACACATGACATGTGTGACATGTCATGATTCCATTTTATTCCAGATGCTCGGTCCTTAAGTGGTTAAAGACATGTAATTTCTCGATTTTGCTTTTTATCCTCCGACAACTGCATTACTGATAGTTACACGGGTTCAGGTTCAGATACAACTGGAGGAGTATGTGAGGTGAAATGAGCAACTTGTGGGACAGAAGGGCATGTTGACCTGTTACGGGTCTTCTCTCTCTCCATAAGTCTGTTGCCAATGTGCATCATATAGATTATATAGTCCTCCAACCTCTCTGGAAGATCTCTACCTAGTGTGTCACCTAGCAGAAACTAAAGAGTTATTTGTCCAGTCTCCCTCAGCTGCAAGGGTATGACTAGTAGTGAATGCCAAATATACTTTAATGCTTTAAAATCAAAGGTTAACACAACACAATGCATTTCGCCAACAGGAGGGTAGAGATGTCGCGAACCGTCCGCGAACTTCCCGCGAACGGTTCGCCGCGGTTTGCCAGCTGACACATCCCTGCCAATCTCCGGCAGACCCTCCCTCCCAGACCCTCCCACCTCCTGGACAGCATCCATGTTGAAGCTGCCTTGAGGTATTGGAAAGGATGCTAGAAAGAGGTACGGCTGCATAGGAGGTGGACGGAGGCAGCAACCGTGGAACGGTAAGAGACCTCATGTGACTGCACCAGTTGGGCACTGTGACACCTTACTTTTTAATTTTATAACCATACTTTGTAACCATTGGCTTGATGATTTTCTTTGGAACACTTCTGGTCAAAAGTTACTTTTTCTGTCAGCGCTGCTTAGTTATACCAGTTAATGAATAGCAATGTGTCTTAAAAATGCAGTGAAAAAAAAAAAGGTTATGCCAACAGGGAGCTGAGATGTAGGTGCCCAGTTGCATGATAAGGAGATATTGATTTACACATCAAGTTTTATTTTTCATACCGAATGCATTAACCATATGGATAACTAAACATCATATTACAAATCCAGGGAAGTGACAATTCCCTTTAAGCTTAAGCATTCTATTCTGCTGCATGCTTGTAATGGCTGGAAAAGTTTTCTTTTATATATTGTTCCTTGAACATTTATTTTTTATTTTAATGTTTGTGGACTTCCTGGGGGTGATTTCTTAAAAATTGCCTTAGGACTTCAGCACCTGGCAACTCACACAATATGAGTCCCTTCTAACAAATATGTGCACAGTGTGGAAGACAGTTAATATGAAACTCTATACACCTCAAAGTGGTGTCCCCTTTACCACTTAAAAATCAACAATATACATACATAAATCAGGTGGAGCTTCTTAAAATAATAGTATAACAGATATTCTGTAAAATAAAATATAGACCATAGTGCAATACAGTAGTATAAATTAAATTAAAAATATATATGCACTCACAAGCCTGGAGTCATAATCTCATATGACTCGGATGGTGTGTGCCTTTGGACCATTCCAGGATGTCCAAAATCCTTTTTCCTTGCAGGACTCTGTTGGTGGTCACTCACAGACAAAAACTGTCAGGTCAGCAATGGGTTTCCACAAGAATTTAATTTTATTCCAAATTAAAATAAAAGAATTATTGAATTAAAAATAAATAAAAGCTTAAGTAGGGCTATATAGTCCTTTAAAATCCTTTAAAATTGCCAAAACGCATTTCGCCTGGTACAACAGGCTTCCTCAGTCGGCTTTATTATCCTCTGCTTAGTCTCTCCAATTTTAAAAAGTCCGCTTATTTTCACTTCCGGGTTCCGGGTTCTGTCTCTATGGAACGCAATTATGTGTTCCAGTGACGGCGCTTCCGGTTTCGTCACTTCCGGTTCCTTTTTTCCGTCGATATGGAACGCATTAGTTCCTCTTACATCACTTCCGCATTTCGGTCTCGGTCAGTTGGAACGCATAATGCGTTCCACTGACGTCATCTCTCGGCATCTCTGTTATTTTCAAACAAACTGCATAATTTTCAGCAAATGTATATATTTATCATCAATTATATTTATGTATCAATACTGGAAATATATTTTGCATATGTATACATATCTATTACTGAACTCTATATGTACATTTAAAGTTTCTGCTTTATATACTGTAGAAATGTCATACAAAAATAATTAACCATATAAATAATATAACTTTTGGAAGTACTTGTGCAATATACAAGACATATTGCCTAAAAGTGTTCTTACAAGAAGAGCATGATATAAATATTTCAAAATACTCTTCCATTGTGTGAGTGGTCTAAACTTTAAAGTGATCCTGTACCTTAAAGTGCTCTTATATATTTTTCTTTAAAGTGCTCTTATGGTGTTTCAAAATTAGTGTTCAAGTATATACCATTTCAAAAACTAAAAAATATAGTTATAAAATGATGTCCTTCCTTAAAATATTTATGCTTAAAACTGTTAAAATATATTAAAAATACTATATAATAGACGGGAATTCTATTCTCTTAAAGGTTACTAAAATATATTAAAAAATATACTCGATAATATAGGGGAGCTTTGTTCATGAAATGGCATAGTTCGAAATCTTGGTTTAGACCATGAGGTGCCATAGTGTTAAAGCTAAAAATGAGTTTCATTTCTTCTATTCCTATTTTTCTAATATAATCTCCTCCTCTCCAGTCTTTTTTAACCAATTTTACTGCACAGAAGAACAATCCTTCAGGATCTTGGTTATGGAATATTTTAACATGGTTGGAGACACTATGTGACTCCAATCCATTTTTTATATTCCTCGTGTGTTCTGCTATTCTCGTGTTTAGACATCTAATGGTTCTTCCTACATAAAGGAGATTACACTGACACTTCAGGACATAAATGACTCCTTTAGAATAGCAAGTTAAGTGATCTCGAATTTGAAACTGTTGGTTTATCCACGGTTTCATGTCCATTATGTGGCGTTTCCTGCTTTTAGTATTTCTGCACGCTAAGCACTGGCCACAACCATAAAAACCTTTACTTTGCTTTAAAAAAATTTTTTCAACCAAAGTTTGTTTATCACTGCTTTGTACTAAAGTGCTTTTTAGATTTTTTGCTCCCCTATAAATAATCTTAGGTTTATCTGGCAAGATACTTTTTAGGACCGGATCATCTTGCAAGATGTGCCAATATCTATTTATAATTTTCTTCACTTTTTTATGATTTCCATTAAAATTACAAATGAATGGAACATCATTATTCCATTTTTGTTTCCCCTTTTTATCTTTATATATTAGAAGATTTTTTCTGGGAATTATGCGGACCTCTTCTAGGGTTGTCTGTAGATCTATTTCTGTATAACCTTTTTGTAAAAATTGGGTCTTTATTCTCCCTGCCTGTAATAAGTAATCCTCATCATTCGTACAGTTGCGCCTAATTCTTAAAAATTGTCCTCTAGGTGCATTTTGTAGCCAGGGTGTATAGTGACAGCTCTCTTTTTGGATATATCCGTTTGCGTCCACTTCTTTAAAATGATTTTTCGTAGTAATACAAGTATTCATAATATTAATATCAAGGTCTAAGAAGTTGATGTTTTCTTCACTTATCTGTGCTGTTAAAACGATGTTCCATTCATTGTTATTTAAAAAAGCGATAAAAACATCTAACTCTGTCCTAGTTCCCGTCCAAATAAAAAATATATCATCGATGAAACGATGATAGCACACCAAATCCACTCCCCAGGCATGTCCTCCATACACGAAATGTTCTTCCCAATACGCCATGAACAAATTCGCATAGCTGGGAGCGAACTTGGTGTCCATCGCCGTTCCCCGAATTTGTAGATAAAAGATATCTTGAAACCAAAAAAAATTGTTTGTTAAAATCAAGTGGATACCTTCTCATATATATTGAGTTTGTTCTTCTTTAAAATTGTGTTTTCTTAAAAAATATTGCACAGCTTCCAATCCAATTTTATGAGGTATGATACTATAGAGGGAGGTTACGTCACACGTAACTAAAAAATTACCCTCTTTCCAAGTGGTCTCCTCTAAAAGCTTCAAAATATGTATGGTATCTTTTAGATAAGCAGGATTGCACACAACTAAAGGTTGTAACAATTTGTCCAAGTATTCCGATACCTTCGCTGAAACGGAATCAATCCCAGATATTATTGGTCTACCGGGTGGATTCTTTCTATCTTTGTGCACCTTCGGTAGATGATAGTAAACTGGAGTTTTAGGGTGTGGGGTGGACAAATACTTAGCTTCATCTACTGTTAGAATTTCCTTTTCTAGACCTTTCTTAATGTATTCATCAAATT